GTGTCACCTGAAAAAGCCACTGTCGAAGAAGAAACTCTACTCGGTTTGAGAAGGGAAACAGTGAAGCCCTTGATGAAGTTACTACCACTGATGTGACTGTTACCAATTATAGGACGTTTCCTGATGAAGCAGATGAACCCCACTTGAAGCAGAAGCCAACGAGACAGTGACCAGTACGGAAGAAGATACGTCCCGTAAAATTAAGAGACTTTGTTGAATTTTAATTTTGAGTTTGTAGTGTTTGTAAATTCTGTACACCCATTTATCTATTGGTTTAATGTAAGTGGCTATTGTTCGGGACGAACAATACTAAGGAAGGGCAGTGTTACGACAGCGGAAGTCACGTGACGCTGGTAACACGACATGAGCTTCTAGAAAATTCATGTCCTTTCATGAATATTATTTCAAAATATTATGGTTGACTGTTTCCTCTCATTGCTTAAGTTTCATTATATGTTACTTATAATTGGAAATGACTATTAAAAACTTTTGTTTAATGTTTAGAGATAACTTCGGTTTAAAGATACAAATTAAACCTTATAACTGAAATAGTTGTCCACCAGCCATAGTTAACTACAAAACAAGTAGACAAATTCCATAAACTTACAGGGAGGGCCGGCGCCAAACTATTTTGCGCCCTAAGCAAGGACAGCTACTTGCACCCCTTGAAAACAATAAACTGGTTATGAACTAACAATGAACTATAAACTATTATGAGCAATGAACTATTATATTTTTTCTTAAAACAACTAATTTGTATAAAACTGTGACCCTTAAAGGTCAGTACTGAGTCATAGGCGGCTCCCTAGTTGGCCTAATGGTAGCGCCGGCCCTGCTTGCAGGTTAACTACACCATCAATTCTATATTGTCACTAACATAAATAACATTTCAATTTTAACCACTCACATACATACCTTGCCATCTTCTACGAAGAATCATTACTTACAAAGACATTTATATTTCTTTCACAATTTAAACAATGAAAACTTTTCTCTTTCTCTCCCTATAGCCTAAAATTATTCATGTTCTCGTTACGACTTGATTAAAAACAATCCGTTTAGCCTTATAGAAGTCCCTTCGTTGTTGAAAATGGCACTCGGAAAAATTATAAAATGAGCCTAAAATTTCATTTAAAAGTTAAACAATTATAAACGAATAGGCTTAGTTGCCTGTATCAATACAGCCACTAGATACATACATAAGGTAGGTTTTTACTCTTTTTTTTTAGATTTAAATTTTAAGAACTGATAAAATCAGTTCTTTCATGAACAAGAGAAGGGGTTAAGCAACTGAACAACTTGTAGAAAATTTGAGTTTTTACTGCATTGTTCAACAAATAAATTTAAACTGAATGATGTGTTAAGATAATACAAAACAATGATCCAAACAACAAAATAATGTGAACAGTTGATACAAAAATCTCTGCTCATGACGAATAGCAGAATACTCCATAACATGACAACAGCATACGAAAATTTTAATACATACGTTTTATATACTGACAAAATAAAATAATGAAGCATTGTATTAAATACCCACTTTAATATGGTAAAACTTCAGCACAAGTGAATAGAATGGGTGGTTCAATTGCCTGTAGTATCTCAAATATAAATATTTAAATAAATAAAGTAAAAATAAATAAAAATATAACTGAAATGATTGAAACAAATAAACGATAAACGAAGAATACTGAATATAAATATAACCAAGAAAGATGCACTATAAGTTATAAAAAATTAAATCCTTTCGTTCATGCTTGTGGTTTGAGATTATTAAGACAATAAATTAGTTTATTTTCAGGTGAAAGCGTCAAATATACCGATTTACAATCCCAAAATCCGGCGTTCGATTTCCCGCGATGAACATAGCAGGTAGCCTAATGTGGCTTTGTTCTAAAATAACCAAACCAATCATTTTCAGCCTCCATTTTTACTTTTAATTTTGAATATGTAACAAAGACCGATTATTCTAAAATCTCCGAGTGAATATGTGAGTTGTTTGAAATATCTACCAATGGGTTCATCAGTGACCTTATTCTTTAACGCTGCGAATGTCTTCACGGGCGCTATCTGCAAACACGCGCCCTGTTTCTCAAATATAAAGTTGTTTACAACGTAAGCAGATAATACAGTTGATAATAAAGCAAATTTTGTTCGACCTAACCAACACCTTCATTTGGGTCCACTTCAATTTTCTTATTTTTATGAACACGTTCACAGCATAAACCAAGAACATAGACAAACCCATTGACAAACATTTCAACCAACTTACACATTCACTCGACACTTTAGAATAGCCGTTCTTTTCTTTTCTTTGTCGAAACGTGAATTGCAGTGAAGAAATAATGAAGTATAGGTTTAATCTATTTTTTATTTCGCTACTCTCACAGCAACAGACTAGTTTCGCCGAATTCAATGCTCATCAGTGTTGCAAAGTAAATAAATAAAATAGGCCTCATATGGTAGTGGAACGTAAGCGGTTTGTTAGATTTAGATGTATAGTCTTTTATTCAACACTAATAATTTAAAACATTTTATTTGTTTAGATAACAAGTGACATGCCGTCATCAGTCTTTGTTAAGAGTCCAAAATTTATTTATTTTTTTCTTGTATGCTAGGAGTCAACCACACATACCCTACTATAGTAGATATTCCCTTTAACCCTACTTTTTTTTATACTAATGGTACTACTGCATTAAATGATTAATTATTTAATTAAATAATGCTCGAAAGATCACGGAATAATAACATGCAAAAAGCAGAACATGTACCATAACTATCACAATTTTTCTGGCTTTCTAACTTGCCACAAACGTCGTTAGAAATTAAGCAAAGCTGGTCAATATGTTTTCCATGGGAGTAAAAGTAAAACTGAAACCAAAACTACACATTGTCTATTTGGAAAAAAAAAAAGTAGAATAATACGCCGTTTCAAAGGTGGAACCTTTAGTTTTCTATTGGTTATGCATGATATAGGATTTAAAAGGAAGAATTGACAGGTAGACGTGGCAAGAGGGGTCTGATTTTCTATTTGGTAGCTCTACAACTAATTAAGATTGAAAGCCATAAATGTTATGCTTTGCCTGAGCGGTGACAATATTATAATAAGGTCTTAGGACCGGTTTTAAGGTAAACAGTTACGACAAGCACGGTCTTGATGTGTACCGAGTTATCTTCGACGCTTTTACTTTGCGCCTTACTACTTGTTGCGAGGTTGTTCTTCATGTTTTCAGGCCAAGAGGTCGCGGGTATCTTTAAAGGATATATTTTACTGTTGTTAAATGTTGCATGAAATTGGTGTTCTGCATACATGTGTAGACACATCAAGTCTGACTATTGAGAAAATGGATATCAGAAAATTTTGCACAAAACCGCGTAAATCACAAGATTCCCAGGAAGATGAAACTATCAAGGAGACAAGGTGGACCAACGGGAAGCGCCGAAGGACTGAAGATGAAATATTTGTACCTGAAGACCTGGCAGATGATAGGCTATTAAACCAAAGAGGCAGTATGGATACTTCTGATCAAGAACATGATGATATATTGGGCGAACCCTTTAGTGCATCTCAATAACTTTAAACCACTGGGTATGAACGAAATGAAAGGCTTCTATTTTTGTACCTTATAATGGTTTTTTTTCGGTTATATTTATTCTTCTTTCGTTTAAATGATTTTACGTTTCAATTGTTTTCAGTAATATTTTTGATTTATTTTTACTTTATTTACATTCATTCCTTTATACTTAATATTAATTGTATTTATTTGTTGTTATTTTTTGTTCTTAACTAAAACGAGAATTTCAGTGATGAAAATAAAAAGTACAGGTCTAATCTATTCTTCGATTTGCTATTCCCACCAAAATAGACTAGCTTCGCCGATTTCACAGTGTTGATTGGACGAGCGAAGCAAATAACTAAAATAGGCCTTTATACAGTGTAATAATAATGGATAACTATTATGAGTGTCACATGTTACCTAAACGTCTAAAGTATTTTGTTTGTTTGTTTGAAGTTAAGCACAAAGCTACATAATGGGCTATCTTTGCTCTGCCCACCACGGGTATTGAAATCCGGTTTTTAACATTGTAAGTCTGCAGACATGCCGCTGTGTCACTAGGGGGCGAGCGATAAGTGAAGGACTATACTTCTAAACCAACCTGTTTATTCATTGAATATTTATTTTGTTACAGTAGGGGGACGTTAAAAATATTTCTTTTCCATCGAAACGTTAGTCGTGTGTACTGACATAAAATTAATTATTAAGCACAAAACTACACAATGAGACACCTGTGAAGTACCTACTGCGAGTATCGAAACCCTGTTTTTAGTGTTATAACACAAAATAGTTCGAAAGCCTATCAAAAGAGTATCAAGTATATATATTTTGGTTGTTGTTGTTTAAATAAAAATCTCTGCCAAGTTAAATTATAGTGTTTCGAGTTTTTTCTTTTTTAAACAAAATTTTCATACACCGAAACAAGAATTTGTTCTTGGCTCAATAGTAAAATAATTTTTAATTTACAAGCAGAAGATTTAGGTTGAATAATAAATTAACCGGCAAATACAACATTATAATATTTCTTTTTATAAATATTGCCACTTTTAATACTATAAAGAATTTTACACACAATGTTGCGCTTTCATATAATTAAAATTAGCCCATATTAACACTCATATCCTGGTGATTTTTTTTCGTTTTTCCCTAGAGTAGGAAATTTGTAAAAATATTGGGACGACACTATCCTTAATGCCAGATATGACGCCATCACATGGAGACAGACGTTTGTCACAGTAACAATGAATCAGCTACATAATTTCAAGAAATTAATAAGACAGAACAGAAGTTGTTATTCAAACTCTGGATATCCGGAAGAGTGGCTCAGAAAGAACAAACTGGCTTCCAACATCTGATGGGCTATTTCGGGGAAGGAACTGGTCGAGGACATAAGGAGAAAGAAAACAAATAAATTAGTTATTAAAATATCCTCCTATAAAATGCATAATATCAACTAGACACTCACACTCCAGAAACAGGACTTGCAAATTTGCTTATTTGTTTGTTATGAATTTCGCGCAAAGCTACACGAGGGATATCTCCACTAGCCGTCCCCAATTTAGCAGTGTAAGACTATCACCACCCACCGCCAACTTTTGGGCTACTCTTTTACCAACGAATAGTGGGATTGACCGTCACATTATAACGCCCCCACGGCTGAAAGGGCGAGCATGTTTGGAGTGACGAGGATTCGAACCCGCGACCCGCAGATTGCGAGTCGAGCGCACTAACCACCTAGCCATGCCCGGCCCGAACTTGGAAGTATACGCTGTAATAACAGCAATTCATATATCCACAGCTGAGGTGAAAAGTAATTGTTCGTATACGCTACATTCAGGTAATAATGCTAACTTAGCTCAAAATTTAGCGCTTGAATAGGAAAAAAGAAAGTAAAAAAAAAAAAAACTAGAAAAAACATGAATTTCTTAGTTTACAGAGTTAGTTAAAAGTAAATATTAATAACTCAAATAAAGCATTACGGTATCAAAAATTAAAAATAAAGAGCTGCTTTTGGAACTATAATAATACTGGTATTATTCACTGTACGCGAATACGTTCAGCCACTTCCACCCCCACTCCTTAAGACTTTAAATATCCTTCAGAGCATCGTGAGTCTGCCCACGAATGTCATAAGAGAAAATAAACAGATGGAAGTTACTAAATGTTATATTAAGACAATTACAAAATACTCACCAAACAATAACTGTCCGTATTTATCACTACTTTCACGGTGTCAAAACACTCTAGCATTCACAAACACAAATTGTAGTTTACTGTGTTCACAAAAGTATAGAGAGCGTGCTCAAATACACAAAACCATCCGACGAATATTTTCCATTTTGAATGTTACTGGCAAATAAATGAAATATATTCTGCTAAATTAATGCCCAATTTACTCTATTTAACACACGTTATTGAAAATTGTATTCATAGAACCTATGCACTTTATGTTCACATATACAGAAGTTACTTAAGTTTATGCTAACAGGCTGAAAAGGTGTACTAGCTTTTACGGTTACAGAAAGAGGAGTCCCTGACGCTTACTTTTGCAGAAACAGAAGTTGTGACACTTACAGACACAGAAGTTACAGCATATGAAGATCTTTTCTTCCGTCTGGACATCAGACGAACATCACTCCACTTCCTGTTCACAACTGTCAACACCTATATGACAGATATTGGGTTGATTAATGTTTAGACTTATACTATGTATTACAGTTTCTAATTCTAGCACACACTCGTACATAACCAGCTATTCAACAGTTACAGATGCATCTAACATCTGACATATCGCTACATCAACAACGTTATTCAGTTTTTAATATAAGATACTGAGCTCGCTCATCAAATGATGTTTATTTCTGCATCGTAAAAAATATTTTACGTCAGAAAATACGAGAACCCTTCCAAACGATACTAAAATTCAACAGTAATTAAATAGTAAAGTAACAGAATACTAGGTGATACCAACAAGCTAACAAGGGCTCAATAAACAACCAACAAGAAACCATGATTGTTATAAGAGTCTAACAATGACTAATTAAGAACCCAGACACATAAAGCTCCAAATGTTACTAGTTTAACAATGACTAATTAAGGCATTACTGTAGCGAATCTCAAATGTTACAGAAGTCTACTAACGAGTTAATAGGAAGTCAATACAGAATACTAAATTTTGATGAAGTATAACAATGTTTAGAAATGTTATTGCATTCTGAAGACCACTAATTCATTTTACTTTTGAGATATTTCAGAAAAATGCAAATTTGATGTGACCCATATATTTAACATATACTAACAAAAATAAAAAATAATTCTTAATGCTAGTGGTAATATATTGTGTATCTTAGTATTCAAAAATAAATATTTAAATATGGAAGGAAGTATTTAATTCAACAATGGACGCATGCATTAGTTAACGATCGCTAGTTCAACAGTGCCAGCAGTTGTTTTGGGCCCAGACTTTATATATTTGTCATTATATTGATAAAACACTTTTAATTCCTAGGAATATTTTCTTACTCAACATAATTTTGAATGCTTTGAAATCATACTGTAAACTTCGAAAGTCTCCCCCCCCCCATTTCATTATGACTGGAAAAAACCCATCTTAACGTTATCACGCATGTATTATGCTCGTTCTTATAAGCACAAAAATTCACGTTATTATAAGTTAATGTTTTCTCAAACAATCAGGTCATGAATTTGACTCGAATAAATAAAAAGAGGGAGAAAAAACGAATCGGAATTGAGAAAAGCAGGCAGCGTATTCTGAAGTATTTTGTAATTCCTTCAAATCAAGCCAAAAACGTTCTTGCAAAAGGAGAATGTTTAAGTAGGCCTAGTAACGACGTGGATATAGGAATTCACAAAGGGCAACTATGTAGTTGCCAAACAAATTGAATAGAAGTGCATTTAAAACATGGATAAGGTGAGTGTTAATAATCTACAACGATCAAAGTTTATGTTCTGTTCTTTAATTTTTCACGATTGAAGATGTAGTGGTAATACGTTCATCTTCTGCTTAACAGCTGGTCTTCTCAGGTAGGTGTGAAATAATAAGGCTGGAAAAACGTAAATATATGAAAAAATTTTTTATTGTAACAAACAAACAAAGAGAAAGCACAAAAAGCATATAACTGGCCAGCAAGGAGTTTTAAGCCCCTAATTCTCCAACACAGATGTGTAACATCACTGCAATAGCC